CTGTAGCACGGGGCCCAGCATGGAGGAGACATAGGCCATCCCCAGGCACAGCAATCCGTACCCGAGAGCTGGGGAGGAGAGTGGGGGGTCACAGCGGTGCTGGGGACCCCCCCGGCCACCAGCACAGCCCCCCCGCTCTGTGCCCGCCATGTGCCCCCCCCAGCTCACCCAGCAGCTTGGAGAGCAGGGTGGCCCGTGACTCCGACAGCCCGGGGCAGTGGGGCCGCACCAGGTCCTCCATGGTGACGGTGGCCAGCGAATTGAAGGCGGAGGAGATGGTGCTGGGGAGGAAGGAGAGGGAGCGGGACGGGGGTGGGGGAAGGTCACTTGGATCCCCCCAGGGGCCCCCTCCCCATCCCCGGGGGTCACCCTGCTCACCTGAGGGACCCGCTGAAGAGGCAGGCGACGAAGAGCCCGGGCAGCCCCGGCAGGTCCCGCAGCACGTCCATCACGAAGTACAGCACCAGCTGGGGGGCAGGGAATGGGGGGGTCAGCAAGGGGGGGGGCACCACGGGAAGGGGGGTGGTCCCCGGTCTCCCACCTGGTCGGAGGAGCCGGGGCGCTGGCCGGGGGCCAGCGGGTGCTCCCGGTCGTAGACGAACATGACGAGCCCGGTGAGGCAGCTGAGGCAGAGGACGATCTGCTGGCAGGGGAAGACGGCGTAGCAGGAGCTGCGGGGGGCCGGGGGGGGGTGTGTGTTGGAAAATCAGAGGCTGGGAAGGGGGGGGTGACACGAGGAGGTGTGTGTGGGGGGTTCACCCACCCCCCCAGCCCTGTCCCTGACTCACAGCTTGGCCTCCCGCTCGCTGCGGGCGCTGAGGTAGCGCTGCACCTGCGCCTGGTTCACCCCGTACAGGGACAGCATCATGAAGACCCCCCCCACCGCCAGCGTCCAGAAGGTGTGGCGCTGGAAGGGGTCGGGGTCCAGGCTGCGGGGGGAGGCACAGGGGGGGTCACAGTGCTGTCCCCACGCCACGGGAAAGGGGGTGGAAGGAGCAGATCCCCCACACACACTGTGCCGGGGTCCCTCTCCCCGTGGCATGGGGCGTCCGTCCCCGGGGGGTGCCGGGGACACACACACACACACACACACACACACACACATACACAGACACACACACACACACAGACTCACTCGATGCCCGAGATCTTGCCCTGCTGCTGTGCCACGTGCCAGACGCGGGCCATGCCCCCCACCCGCTGGGCCCCCACCACGATGACGGCCAGCTGCCCCGCCAGCATCACCAGCGTCTGGAAGACGTCGGTCCAGATGACGGCCTTCAGCCCGCCCTGCAGAGGCACCGGGAGGACCGTCACCCCCGCCCCGGGGCTGGGGGACGGGGTGGGAGGGACACAAGACACAGTGGGGGGGGTACCCCGTGGCTGGGCAGCCCCCAGACTCACCAGCGTGGTGTAGAGGGTGCAGACCAGCCCGATGGTGAGCACCGCGCTCCAGAGGTCAAAGCCCGTCACTGGAAGCGGCAGAGGCTGTTAATGAGCTCAGGAGAAGGGGGGGGGGGGCCAGCATCACCAGCGTCTGGAAGACGTCGGTCCAGATGACGGCCTTCAGCCCGCCCTGCAGAGGCACCGGGAGGACCGTCACCCCCGCCCCGGGGCTGGGGGACGGGGTGGGAGGGACACAAGACACAGTGGGGGGGGTACCCCGTGGCTGGGCAGCCCCCAGACTCACCAGCGTGGTGTAGAGGGTGCAGACCAGCCCGATGGTGAGCACCGCGCTCCAGAGGTCAAAGCCCGTCACTGGAAGCGGCAGAGGCTGTTAATGAGCTCAGGAGAA